TTCTCAACCTTCTGATTACAGTTATTCCACTTATAAAATAAAGTGGACAACTGCCCTAGCTACTACAGGATTAATAAAAATAATAAATGTGAAAGAACTTTACAAATTGTGAAGTTCCTTACAACTGTAACAGGACATTAATAACAGTTATAAAGAACAGCAAAATGTCCTTTTATGGGTCAGGCCGGGCAAATTCCCATGAAGTGAGATTATCAGGCAGTAATCCTAACAGTGGCAGGACGTGGCAACTTTGGCTGGCACAGCTCCTCCTCTCTTCCCCACACTCGGGCCAGTTCCTCCTGATCTTCAGAAACCCAACTTCTTTCAAAGATATTTATTGGTATTAATGGTAAGATTCTCCTCCCATACTCTGTAAAACCTCTTGTGGATCTTTTTTCTCTTTTATGATTTTGTGGAATGTTCAATTAGATGTAGACAAACTTCATCTTTGGAATAGCCATATTTATTCTCAACATTTTGAAGAATGTTCAAGCAGTCAATAAGAGTCCACCAAATCTAGAACCAATCTCATCCTCTCAAGACCCTGTGGTCTCCTACCCTGCCAATGACAGTAACACACAAAGACATACACACACACACACACACACACACACACACACACACCTAAAGATGTGTCTTAGATATATAATTCTCTAAGAAGAGTACCTTCCCCCACTGGACCTATAGACCATAACCCAAAGAAAAAAAATCTGTGTTTAATTTGGGGGATATGAAGGAATAAATCTAGTAATTTTTTTTTTGTACCAACCAAGATTGAACTCAGGGGCACTTGGCCACTGAGCACATCCCCAGCCCTATTTTTTTTTTAATTTATAGACAGGGTCTCACTGAGTTGCTTAATGCCTCACTTTTGCTGAGGCTGACTTTGAACTCTCACCCTCCTGCCTCAGCCTTCCACGCTGCTGGGATTATCGATCGGTGTGTGCCACCATGCCCAGTTGAAACTAGTAATTTAAAAATATTTTTTCACTAACAGTCCTATTGTGTGCTTTTCCCACCAACTTCAAAGATACTTATCAATATTTTTCTTTTCCCCTAGAAACACCAATGCCCCAAACCTCTCAGGAATTAGATCCCAGAACATCCTGATTCACTCTGCCATTCCCTGTCCCAGATCCCCTGCTTGTTGTGGCTTCTCAACATTTAAAAATATAGAACGTATCAATTATGAACAATGTGGCTTGTCTGGCCCACATCTCACCTGACTCCCTGCTCCCTTAGAATTCCATTCCATAGTCAGAGGAATATCAATTTCAGAAAATAAGGTTCCTGATATCTAACCTAAAGTTTCCTTCTACAAGTCTCATCCTATTACTTCTACGGCCACACTAAATAACTCCTCTCCTTCAGTGCCAGTCTCCCTCCTCCAAGATCTGTGGATTGTTACCATGGCTTTCCCTTCATCACCACTTTAGCCCAGCCATATATATTTAATTCTTTTCATCATTCATCATAAATCAGTCCTTTCAACTCTTAAATCAGCACTCTGCTCTTCTCTGGACTAGTTCCAAGTCTCCCAATTCACCTCCAATAACTGATATCCCTTCTGGGAGCTCACATTTCCTCTCTATCTTCCTTTACTCTCTATGCCCTCTCCAGATGAAATGGGAAGAGACTGACTGGTAAGTGTGGTCAAGGGTCAGGTGTATTGTATTGCATACCTCTACTTAAATTGCTTAGAACTCTCCCCCACACATGTAAAGACCCAAGTCATGTAGCCCCTTTCCTGGAGTGGAGAGGGAGTGTATGTAGGAAAACAGGCCCTCCAATCCCCCAACATCCTCTAGACCCTCACCTGGAAGGGTGGAAGAAGCTGATCTCAAAACACCTACAAACCAGAATATTACCCAGGGCTATGGGCAATGCCTTGGCCCCCAGGTAAACATCTTTTATGTGATTTGGGATGTCTCAGGATAGTACATCACCATTCATATAATCCCAGCAACTGCCTCTCTATTTCATCTCCATGAATGACTCTTTTGGAGAATTGCTACAGACCAAAATGTTGATTTCCCTCTAGGAATTCACAGCAACCCACAAAGAAAAAAAAAAAAAAAAAAAAAAGCATGAGCATGTCATTCATCATAAGGCCTCTCGGGCATCCTTTTGTCCTCAGAAAACCCAAACCACGAGCAGTTCAAAGGTTTCACTCTGTTCTAACTGGGTACTTTCCCATTTTTTGCCACATCCCTAGTCATAGTCCTGCTCAAGTTTAGGAAACTTGAATATTCAATCTGAGAAAAATAGGGTACTTCAGGCCCCTCACTACAAAGGATGGTAAAACCATCATCCCTCTTTTTCCCTCCCCATTGTTCCCCTCTAGACAAGACCACCAGCCCCTTAGGCAGAAGCAGGAAAAGATGAACTGAGCTTTGCCTACTTTCCCTTTGTGATTGAAGATCCGATGCCACAGAAGTGTTTATGTCCTTTCTATAAATCAGAGTCTATGGGAAAAGAATAAAACTCATTTTCCCCAAAATGACAAACAGCAAAATCGATCCTTGTGGCAGAACCTAAGCCTGAATTTTCATACAAGAAACCAAATGGAACCACAATGATTTACATTGCCCCAAACATGAAACATGATTATAGCAGGGTGTGTCCACTCAGTGGGAAGGTCTACAATGGAGACTGCACCTGAATGAGGCTGGGGAGGTAATGGTAAAATGAGAGGCTAGTCCTTCCTGGCAAGCTACCTAACTGCAGACAGCATATGTCCTCAGAGACAGGAGGGACCAGCCTCTTCCAAGTGTGATCACCACAGGCCTGAAGTGCTTTTCAATAAGCTGTCTGCCTCTCTGGAGGTCATAGGGAGCTCATCCAGTTACACTTAGTGTCTTATTTGATCCCATCAATAATCATTTGATCCCAATCCTACTGAAAAATGCTTGGCCAAAATTTCTAGCCTTTTAATGGCAGAATCCTGGCTCTTTCTGAAACCAGCATTGCTAGATGTGTCAAATGATGCATAAGAGCTTGGTCCAGCTGCCAAACAGACTGCACTGCCGAGGAAAGACTTGGGATGCTCACTGCCTCCTATAGTCAGTAGCAAAGCAGCTCTTAGAGAATACTCCTTTCTATCTGAAACTCCCCCACTCAGTAGTACCATCAACTCATTATGTGGGGCTTGAATGAAGTAGTACTATATTCTTCAAATGCATTATACATGTGACTCTCAGAAACACCCACTGGTAGCATCTTGCAATCCACATGTTTATAGTTGGCAAGTTTGGGGCTGCATGTGATAATGACAACAGCAAATATAGATTGCTTTGGCCCATGGTCATTTAACGAGAGGTAATAGAGGACGCTCCAGAAAGGCTTATAGATATGAAAGTGGAAGAAAATCTTCATTCCCAGAGAAAAAGTCATTTTTATTTCTATCACTAAAACATTGGGCACTAAAAGAGAATGTGTATATAAACCACAGAAGGCATGATGACATCAAAACCCAGCTGTTCTTTACAAAAGTATCCTTGGTGGGACAATTGTATCATTCTCCATCTCACTTCACTGAGGCACTAGCAAACTCATCTGACCCTATCTTTTACTATGGAGTGTATGAATTCCAGCACTGATCACAGGGGTCATTCTGAGTGCCAATGCCACTAATGCTGATGCTGAAATATGCATCTACTCTTGTTCTTTTCTTGGAGACCATATACCAGGATGTTTTCTGCATAATGACTACAGAATCTCAGCTTCTTAATATCTCTGCTGCATAAGAATATTGACTGTGTGGGGAGTACGTGTGTGTGCTTGAACAAGCATGGGACATACTTGTAGCTCTACAATGGCCATTTTTCAATGCTTTCCATCCAATTAATACTTGATATTAGTGGCCAGTGGAGCATAAGAACTTCATTTATTTCTAATGATGAGGATGATAGAAAAGAAGCTGGGTTTTCTCAATGGAATTAGTGTAGGCTGTTTAAAAACATGATTTCTCTTCTGTGCTTTGCTCATTCATTTGCATGGTATATTTTATTCAGGAGTTCTTCCCCGACACTCTTACAAGAGAAACATCCATTCAAAACTACCTGGTTTTCCAGTCAAATTATCACTTGAAAGAGTTAGAAGTAAGTGCTGCACACACATCCCCAACTCAGTGAATATGGGAAGAAATGAGGGAGTAAATGAAACAGAAACCTCATTTCAGGAGTCTCCAGCAGAGAGATCTGCAGTGAAACGGCTGCCAGAGACTATCACCAAGAGCTGAGGCTGCAGACATTCAAGCTAAAAATCAGAGGAGGGAAGAGGAAAGGGAAGGGGAAGAGAAACAAGAAAGCCAACTATTTTTTCCTTCCTGGCTTCATAGTGACTTCCTCAAAGCAAGACAATCTTTACAACTTTCCTCCCTCTTTCCACACCTCCTCCTGTTCCCTGATCCATATTTCCTCTGGGATTCTCCCAGGACATCTGAGAAGATGAGGGTCTGAGAGTGCAAAGCAGACAGGGGGTAAGAGTAGAGGTAGTGCAATGAATTAACAAGGAAGAGTGAATCCCTTGGGAAGTAACAGTTGGAAGGCATTCAATAATATGAAGAGCACCTTTATATTCCCTAAGAAATTATACCCCAAATCTGTGGGTGATCATGAAGAGGAACATGGAGGAGAGTGAAAGGATAATAGTTTTCAGATGTAGTACTAAGTTGGAACTTGGAAATAATAGGAGGGTTTCAACCATTCTAGGGCTCCAGGAAGAAAGGTAACCAGTTCTGGCTTGGACCTTGTGTAGAGGGCATTATGCCAAAAACAGAAAACTTTTCTCCCAACTCGATTGCTAAAAAAGGAAGGAAGGTCCTTGGGAGCGATCGGCCTCAGGAAAAAAGTAAATTACAGTCTAACTTTAGGAATAAGGAAAGAAGGCTAAGAAGCTTTTGGGAAAGACGGGTGAGGGGAACAGTTAGATAATAGTGGCTGCAAATCCATGTAACTATAAAATGCGAATCCCAGCACACTCTGGCGGGAGCTGCTCACCGATCCCAAAGATCTGGAAGAGAAGGCGGGGCTGGGAGGCGCGAATCGCCGCGGACAGCCTTCCCTCTCTGCCCACTTCCGATGCCTTCTTCTCGGGCATCAGGCGGATCCTCAGCCGCCCTTCGCCGTGACGAATCCACCAGCTAAACAGCTCACTGAGGTTAAACTGGAGCAGTCCCACGGCCGCCTCTTCTGGGGACCCAACGCAGCCCTCAAGAATAGCCTCCTCGCCCAGCTCCAGCACCAGCTGCTTGGCGCGCCGGAGCTTGCGTATCGAGCCACCTTTCAGCACCCTGGACAGCGTCGGGTCCGCGGCTGGGGACAAGGAGCTGGCCGCCGGCGGCCCCAGCAGCCTAACCAGCGGGGCGCAGTCCAGAGCCAGCGAGCCGCGCGCCTCCAGCCGGCCAGCCCTCGGCTCGGAGGGGGATGGCGGCGGCAGCAGCAGGTCTCGGGCGTAGACACGGAAGAGCGAGGGCACCACGAAGTCCACCGCCAGACTCTTCCTCTGCAGGCGCGAGTAGCTGAGCGGTTCTCGGGGCTGCAATGGTGCCCCAACTGCCTGTGAGCCCGCACGCTGCTCGGTCGGGGTCCCGGAGCCCAAGGCTGCCGCTGAAAGCAGCAGCGGCAGCAGCCACAGGAGCCGGGTGGTTCCCATCCCGTCAGAGGAGGGCTGTTTATATTAGTCTCCCGACTCTCCTGGCCCAGCCTTGGCCTTCGCTTTCCTGCAAACGCAAAGGGCTACAAACAGTCCTTGGTCCTAAAGGGCTCCTTGCATCTGATCTTGATTCCCTTGCTTTCTCCAAGCTGCAAGGAGGCAAGCAGAGGTCTGAATAAAACAGAGCTGGAAGTCAGGGGCGCGTCCAGAGAACACAAACGCGCTGGGTTCGACAGCTGGACCGTGTACCTCTTGCTCTTCACGCTGAGTGCCGCGCCCCCGGTCTGTAGCTCGCTGCGCTCCCGAATGACAGAAAGTACTACGGCTGAAGGGAGGTGGCAATTGGGTACCGTCCTCTCCTGCCCCCCGCGGCCGGACCTGGGGTCTGTCAGCTCTCCCGGCAGCCTCCAACCCTCCGCAACTTTTCAGGCTGGGAACCGTGGATCTAAGCCGGCACCCGCTATCCTGGCCTCCTCCAGCCTCCCTTTCGGCTCCTCTGAGCTCCGCTTCCCGAGCCTGGGCGAGAGTCAAGTAGGGGACTGCTTTCTAGTACCCCTCCAGGCGACCTCTGCTGCAGGAAGTCTTCGGACAGCACTGCCAGCTGAACTTCTGGAACCAGAATCGGAGACTCAAGTGCTGCAGAGTCAAGACTCTGGCCGCCACCGCGCAAGTTTGCAACGTCCTTGCTGTCACCCGCGTCTTGGTTCCTCGGAGTTCGTAGGCTACAGAGCGGCCCCGGAGGCAGTGAAAGCATTCAGGGGAGGGGAGCCCGAAATCTTGTCCCCTCCTCACCTATCCTTAGCTCCAATGGCTTCGGGTGGCTGGCCAGAGGGCAGCTGGAAGGCGTCTCGGTGTTCCACGACTCCCCGGACAGCGGCAGCGGGGGGTGCCAGCTGCCACCGCCGCTGCCGCCCTCAGAGCCGCTGGATCGCATCTGCCCCGGCGCCCGCCACTTGCAGCTGGCGGAGCCGCGAGCGCGCGCCGGGAGGGGGCGGGGCCGCGCCGGGGGCGGGGCTCGCGCGCCAATTCTTTGCGGCTGCTAAACACACGCAGACCCGCCCCGTCCCGCCCATGCCCGCCAACCAATGACGAAGCGAGGTCGGCTTCCTATGCAAATCTGCAGAGGCTTGGTGTTCATTGAGAAAAGCACAGAGTCCGCCCCGCCTTCCCTCCCTCAATTCCTCTTCTTGGTTCCCTTCCTCCAGATACTCTGCCCTATTTCTCTGCTCTTGCAAACAGGAACGTGTTTTGAACAAATGGAAAACTGGAAGAGATCTTTGTAATCAAGCACTCTAATAATGCATTTAATAGATTAAACGGGTCCAACTTCAGAAAAGCAGGTTCCAGAATAAAACTGTGGAGACGAATGGAAGGCAGGAGGGGGAGGGGTGGCAACACGACATCACTAAATCCAAGAACAGCTTGTATTGGGGTGGTGAAACAGAATTTTCTCTGACTCTCATTATTTGAATGCGTTCCTGGAAGCCTAGAGGTCACCCAATTCACACAGGAAAAGTTGACAGCGGGGGTGGAGGTCTTGCAGAGAGTTGTTCTTCAGCTACAACAAATACCTTCCAAACCTCTGTCAGTCACCACGTTTTCTCAGAATGGTATCTGAACATGTGCCATCTCCTCTAGTTTCTGTAAAGTGAATTTGCAGTGCTGGGGATTGAACGCGGAGTCTTGGGCATGGCAAGCAAACACTCTACCACTGAGCTGCATCTCCAACCCAAGGCAAATGTTTTCAAATCATTTCACAGAGGAGGACACTGAGTTGCAGAGAACTTAAGTGATATTCCCTGAGTCATACGGTCATATGTGACCCCCAAGGCTTTACCATATGTTCTCAACCAGCACTCTTGTCATACCCCTCCATGAATAACAGGAGAAGGTGTAGGGGTGACTTAACTGCTTACGTCCTTGGTAATGAGACCTGAGAATCTCAGAGCTTTTCCACTCACTTGTCAGGGCTGTACCTCTGGTCTGTTTTTCCTTTTGTCCCTTAAAAACTGCCAATACAGAATTCAGATAATGTCTGTGTTTATAACAAGCAGTTGACTAGAACCACAGACAAAAAAATATATATAATCTTTAGTTCACACAAATCCCTCAGAGTTCCTTCTTTTCAAAGGTTGGTTGTCAGAGCTGGTGCTAACTGTTGGAGCTAAGGATAAGGCAATATTCCCCACTCAGCTCACAGTCTGACAGGTAGCAGAAGAGCTTCCTTGAATCAGAGCACTGTGTCTGGTGGAATCTCTCTCACTGAGCCACAGAAGGTGGTAACCAAGTGGAGCCCCTGCTCTCCCAGGGATGCAGCTCATTCCAGCACAGTGGCATCACCTTTGGCTAAAGGAAGACCTAATGGGCCAAGAAATGTCACTTCCTGGAATGACTTGCTTCTGACTGTATATGCAACTCACTTGATCTGGCAGGCATCTGGCTTCTCCCTGGAACTCAGGCTGGATAGGCTGACTTTACAAGTTTAAGGGCAAAGATTTATGTAACCCAAGGAGAAGAAAGGATGCCCCTATATTGGGGGAGGAAGGGAGGGAATTTAAAAAAAGAAAGAAAGAAAGAAAGAAAGAAAGACAGGAAAAGGTAAGAGCATGGAGGTTAATAGAGTGGGTGCATATGTTTGGATTTTCATCAGATTTTGATGGTGTGCACAGTGGTGAAAAATAATTTTCTACGTGAAATATGGAAAACAGTAAAATGCCAGTTCTTTCACTCTCTACTCCATTCCTTGTGTCTCTGCATAATTCTTGCACAAAGGTAAATAGACTCCCGTCAGTTGTCAGACTGATTCAAATGCTAAAACCAATGGCCACTAGGGGGCTGTAGAGACTTGAAACTAAGATGAACTGCCAAGGTGTAACATTCTCCCTGAGACGTCCCTCTCTGTGCCTTGCTTTTGCACCCGGTGGCCACAGGGGTCTCAATTAACTCTCATGTTTTTATAAATTCTCCCAAGGAAGGACAAGTACCTTTCCCTGTAGATTAAATTACACTAAGTTTCAAAAATATTGTTCTCTTCTTGTTATATAATTTTAAAAGACAGGAATGGGTATCGATAGCCTATGGTCAGGCATTATACTTATGCATCTAGATGTTGTGTGTGTGTGTGTGTGTGTGTGTGTGTGTGTGTGTGTGAGAGAGAGAGAGAGAGAGAGAGATCACATGAAGAGCTTTTGGGGGGAGATACATATTATTATTTTCATTGTTTATGGAAACAAAGAGGCTAAGACTCAGAGAGGCAAAATAATTTGCCCAAGGTCAAACAGCAAGTAAATAACAGGGATTGAATTTAAACCAGTGATTCTTTTCCCCAAAAATTACACGTCCCACTGGGACAAATTAGGCCTTTTTGTCATGCCTACAGCTATAATTTTGACATCTTTATCCTATGTTATCACCACTAAAAGAAAAGGTTTAAGAAAATGGAGTTAAGAGCAAATGGGAGAGCTGGGACTATAGCTCAGCAGCAGAGCACTTGCTTAGCATGTGTGAGGAACTGGGTTCAATCCTTAGAACCACATAAAAATCACAAATACAATAAAGGCTATCTGTCCATTTACAAATTTTTTTTTAAACAGCAAATGGAAGAAGGAAAGATAAAAAGTATGGGCTGTAATAGTTAGAATGTCTTATGCACTTCTTATGGGCTGGTATATTTCAAAATAATTAGCACGCATTATCTCATTTAATATTCACAGAAATACTATAATGGGAAGGAATAGTATCTCCATTTTACAGATCCCAAATGGAAGTTCAAGAGGAGTAACTTCTCAACAGCAAGATTATACAGGAAATTAGATTTGTTACCTGAGTTAAACCTGAATACTGAGTAAGAAGTCCAGCATCATAAACCCTGGGTGACCTCCTAAGAGAGAGAGATGGGGTGGAACAGACTGAGGAACAGAGGAGAAAGCCAAAGTTCAAACCAGAGGGGAGATGAGTGGATAGGAGTGGTTGAGAGGGCATATATAGACACTAGAAGCCCTGAGGAGACAATCAAGTGAGCTGAGCCATTTGGGGTCACCATGAAGATGACTTAGGTGGTTAAGTGCGAGAGGAGGAAAGTGAATAGACCAAGTGTCAAGACACAAAAACACCAGGAGGGCACTGAGACCACCAAGATCCTCTGTGGGAAGTTTCCAATTTCTATAAACAAATGAATAATTAGGGGGGGAGCTTTGAATTTTCTATAAGGGAGGTCACAATAAAATGGCATTTTAAATTTAGGTTATATGACTTAAGACAAAACACAATTCACAACGGTAAAATCTGACTGGGACCTACAGCACTAATTAAGTCAGACATTCATTTGGTAAACAAATTTTTCTTGAGCACCTAATATATATACAAGATAAATGGAGTCCTCCACCTCTTGAAGCTCAAATTCGAATGCTGGGAGAAGAACGATAAACATGCAAAACCATAAGGTAATTTAAGATAATCAAATAAAGAATAAGTTGGCCTATGTAGCAGGCAATGACTTGAGGCAAGGAACAGGGGAGCTAAATAGTCAGAGGAGATCTCCTTGAGAAAGCTAAATTGAACTAAGTTGTAATTGGTGGGAAGGAAGTAATCTTGCAAAGATCTTAAGGAAGAATGTACTAAGCAAAGGAATATCAATGCAAAATCCTCAAGATGTCAATAGGTTTGCATGTCCACGGGACAGTAAGAAGTCAATAGAGCTGAAATATACTAAATGGGGACATAAAGCTGGAGGGGCAGCCAGGGCTCAGTTCATTTAGGGTTACAAAGGCCATGGTAAAAAGACTGACTTTTATTTTGATTGCTATAAAAAGATAATGTCTAGTTTAATGGAAGAGTTTCATGCTCTAATATATGCTTTAGACCCTCATCATCCAATATGGTAGCATCTTGAACCAATATCCAGGTATAACATGGCTACTGAACACTTGAAATAAGTTTTCTACTCTAAATTGACATGTGCTATAAGTATAAAATACACACCACATTTCAAATATTAATGATGGGGATATATGTAAAATCTCTCATTAGTAAGATGTAAATCTTTCATTATTGTTTAATTGAAAATATGTAAGGGAAAATATGTAAAATCTCTCATTATTGTTTAAGTGATGGTATTTTACATAATCCATTAAACAAAATATATTATTATGGCTAATTGTAATTTTTAAATAGTTTTTGGAAAAGTGGTTATGGTCTTGGACAAAGATTTTAACCTCTTGGGCCTTATCTCTCAGGCTTAAAAGTAGATTATTACCTCTTTCTGATGAATCTTTTTGTGACAATTAAATATGATTACACATGTGAAATTTCTAACTGAAAGCATGACACATGATAGGCACTTGCTAAGCTAAAGGAAGAAAGTACTGATGGTCAGATTTCAAATGTGAGGACTGGATAGCGATGTGTTCTGGCTGAAGGAAGCTGTGTTATATGGACCTGTCGGTGACCAGGCTGACCTTGACTTTCTGATCACTT